TTATGCATCTCTTTCAAACATAATTGCTTTAACCCATCAACAACTGCACAGATTAGTGAAACTGTTGCATATTTGATAATTACACTTTCCTTCATTTCATTAAATGTGCTACTTTGCTTTGCAAATACTACAAGCTCTGAATAATAACAATAAACATAATGTCATTTTTTATGTTTTCTAGGTATAAAAACAAGTTCAGACTTAAAGTGAAAACAAAATATCGGCAATACAATTCATTTTCCAAGCTGTTTGAGTGTTGGTGCCAGAGACAAGTGCCACCTCACAATGTCTGTTTGGTCTATGTGTCAAGTGTTTTAAGGATTGTTCATGCTCATCATATGTATGAAAAATGACTTCTTGTGCATGCAAAGAAGCACTCTAGTGTGAATGTGAACTCTCTAACAAGCATTTTGAGTGATCAGAACTTTCAGAACACACATAGTTGAAAGACAAACAATGAAGCTGCAAGTGGTGGAACCAGCCTTGCCAGTGGGCATTGGAGAAGACTGTTTGCCATCCTCCTGCCCTGCGACTATGACCCTGAGATGTATTTCCCTTCTAGGAACTGATTTGGGCATAATAGATTTTTATTATGTTGCTGCTGGCCCTTTAAGAACTATCTGGGGATATACTGCGGAGTTACTGGGTGGCCACCATTTCATGTATCAGAGGCACATGGTGAGAACAATGGATGAAGCACATCTTGAGAACAATGGATGGCGGCCATTTTAACTCACAGACACTGTTTGACTTTTCTACACGGTGCCATCTCTCCGGTATTTGGTGCAAAAAGACATTGTTCAGTAGTTTTAAACTACAGAACAGGGGACACTTTTAACAGTAATTATTTTTCATATAGCCTGTATATGTTCTGCGGAATCTGCATTCAACCGTATCTTCCAAACTACTGAACGGATCTGGGTCAATTTTGGGTATGTGGTTCACCCAGATTCCAAGGATATATTTTTTATGGGGTTATTGCATGTTTTGGGGTCCCTGTAATATGTTTTATAATACTGTATTCCTCTGCCTGTGATAATTATATTAACCATTGTGTTCAGTAATCATATTACAGGCAGAGGGGAGGATTTTGTGTGGGAGTGTCTGTGTGTATTGTACGGATTGATTGGTTGTATTTCAAAACCCTGTGGGCAGTACTATGTTTGTAGAATGTGAATAAAAGAGGCTGTATGTGCCAGTACAGTCAGTTCTACTTCACCCTCAATCTGAGTCCTGTCTCTTATTGGGGGAATCTGCTACAAGGGATTGCTATACTCTGCATATTCCCTTGCTATAATCACTGAGCTCTTGTAAGAGCTTGTTCGTGTCTTGCTCTCTGAAGGAGTCTACGGTGGTTATGGTGTCGGCTGGAGTGCCTGGAGCCCTCAGGAAGTGCTAGGAGCATCCTTCAATGGAGGTACCCAGTCGGGGTGCCAGGTGATCCGTTACACTGCATCACCAGCAAATTCCAAACCAGCAGTCTAAAGTGTGTACACTACAACATTAAAGGGGTCATAAAGGGATCCTTATCAAGTCAATGTACACTGAAAGCGTCTGAGAAGTGAGTTTGGGAGGGTTCTAAATAAATACAGAATGTGAGGCAGAATCATCATTTTTATGGAGTTGACTCTGCCAATCCAAGAAACGTTTAACCTATCCCATGCATCCATCTGTTTGGAGATGTTTGAAAGAATCACTACTTGGTTTTCCCTTATAATGAGAGCTTTAGATTGAGTTAATTTTATGCCCAGGTATGAAATAGAGGATGTTTTCCAATCAAAGGTATAGTTCACTTTTCAACTGCCCACTGCATGTGGATCTGGTTGTATGGGAAGTATTTGGGTTTTGCTAATATTAATTTTATAGAATGAAATGGTACCATACGTATTTAGTATATCTACTAGGTGCGGAATTGATTTAGTCGAGTTAGGGAGAAATATCATTATGTCGTCAGCTAAGAGAGCAATTTTTTTCTCTCCCCCTGGGGTGTTTAGGCCAGGGAATAGCGAGTCAAGTTTTATTTTTCTTACCAGTGGTTCCAGACATAGGATAAACATTAAGGGGGAAAGTGGGCACCCTTTCTTTGTTCCATTCGTTATTTGGAAGCTCCTGGATGTAAAGCCGGAATTAAACACTCTAGCGGAGGGGCAGATGTATAGAGCCGTTATACTTGTTAGGAAGCAGTCAGAAAAGCCAAAGGCTTTTAGGGTAGCTTCCATGTAGGCCCAGTTCAGGCGGTCTAAAGCCTTTTCTGCATCGAGCACCATTAGTACTGCGCTCTGTCCCTGGCCATTAGCCCAATCTAACAGGTCCATACAGTATCTAGTGTTGTCTCCCACTTGTTTGCCAGGTACGAACCCCGCCTGCTCATCCGAAACAGGGGCTCTGTGTTTGGGGAGGGCTCGGATGGCTTGGGCCACCTCCTCTTCTGTAAATAATACGTCTAATGTTTCATTTTGTTGTTGTATGGTTTGCGGGAGTGTAATTTGTGATAGATATTGCGATATTTCCGGTAATTCGGGAGTATGCGTATCTTTGTTTTTATCAAGATTGTAGAGGTCTTCATAATATAGGGCCAGTTCATCTACTATTTTGTAAAGGATTATAGATTCTTGTATTCATTTTGGATGTGATATATGGGAATTTAGTTTGCAGGTATTTCGATTTCAATTGATTGGCTAATAGTTTGCCAGCTTTGTTTCCCAGGCAGTAATATTTTTGATTGGTTTTAAGTACATTCTTTGTGTACACCTGGGCACGGATTTTTTGGATATCTGCTTGAACTTTGGCTATTTGTCTCGATAAAGTTTTGGAGGGGGATTGTTTGTTGAATTGCTCTAATGTTGTTAGTGTTTGATGCAATGTGGCTTCTGTGTTGTGGAATTGTTTTTTGATACTGGAACCAATTTTCATGAATTCGCCTCTAATGACTGCCTAATGGGCTAACCATTGTATTTCCACTGACGTGTCATTTGTGGCGTTGTTAATGAAGTAATCATCAATTTCTGATGCTATCTTTAGTAGGTTGGTGGGACAATCCAGAATGGATTCATTCAGTCTCCATTTACCTCGGCCTTTTGTTGGGTATGGTACCGCTAATGTAATCACTATTGGTGCATGGTCCGACCATGATCTCTGTCCTATTGTTTAATTTTGCAGGTGGGGTACAGTTGATTTATCTAACAGACAAAGATAAATTTGTGTGTATGTCCTGTGTATTGGAGAGAAGTACGTGTAGTCTCTTGCCATTGGGAACAAAGTTATCCATGTGGAATAGAGATCTTGAGTGTGTATTAGGTGTGAAAAGAGTTTGCTGATTTGGGTGGAAGATCTGCTGGGTGGTCTGTGTTTCGTGTGTTGAATGTCGAGTGAAGGGTCTACGGTGGAGTGTAGTCGCCACATATTATAACATGGCCTGTTTTCATATGCAAAATCTTTTTGATAGCTTTGCTAAGGAAGGAAAATTGAGCATAAAGAGAGGCAACGGTTATCAATATGCCATTTAACTCCCCTATCAAGATTAGTAGCCTGCCTTCTCGGTCCTTGTACTGTTTGTGTGGTGTAAAAACACAATCAGTGTGGAAAAGTATTGCAACTCCTTTCAATTTGCTAGGGGCATATGCATAATAAGCTGTGGTGTATTTCGTTGATCGTAGTTGTGGTGGGTTTATATTGCTGAAGTGGGTTTCCTGGATACATACTAAGGCTGCCTCAACGTCATGCATCTCTTTTAGCATTTGTTTCCTTTTATAGGGGCTATTAAGGCCTTTGGCATTTAGGGAGAGGACTTTCATTGTGTGAGAAGCCATAAGTGTGGATTATCGATTAGGGCTAATACTAAAAGCCTGAAACTGTGGTGAAGGATGATGTTCACCCCTAGAGTATAAGTACATACCCAATTGAGCCTTGTAGAAATATATGCGCTTTGAAGATTGAGTCTTGCCACGTTCCCGGTTAAAGGAGGCACACCACGGCCATTTATAATGCTTATCACGGCTCAGGTTCCTATGGGGAAAGAGGGAGAAGTAGGGAAGGGAGAAAGAATAACAGAAAAACAAAAGCATATACAGGTGGCTCCCTGAAGGGGGAGAAACATAATAGTCATCGGTGGGGCGCAATAGAATTGGTCCCCACAAACGACCTGTGAGGGAGGCTATAGAGCTCCTCCCGACCCGATCAAGTAAATTATCATGAATGCAGCTTTAAAATGTAAAATGTAAAAACAACCGTTGCCACAATAGGATTGAACATGTAACAGACATTGTGCAAAGGTAGAAATATTGACGTTTAACATGCAACAGACGTTGTGCAAAGGTAGAGTTATTGACGTTTAAACCTCGTCCGTAATATTGTCTTTCAATTTTACTAGGGTAAATTGTATGCTTGATTTGTGGTCCTTGGTAGTTGTGACACCGGCACTCTCATATTGTAATGTTTGATACGAGTCTACTATATACCGTGACGAGGTGGTGTAGTTATCACCTATATAACTCGGTTGAGCATGATGAGCAGTATGATGCCATGTTAATAGTTTTGAGGCTTAATCTTTAACACCTTAATCAATGATCCGTGTCACTGGGACAGCGTGATCGGAATTGAGTATAAAAACTCATGGACAAGTCTATTTTGCGGACATGGCTTATGGATATATTAGGTTTGCTGTGTAGCCCAAAGTGTTGGTAAGTAAATAACTAAAGATATGAAGCGGCCCTATGGATTATGCTTTACATTGTTAACCTGTATTATTGTCTCTTTTGGTTCGGAGGCTACAGCAAAGTTCATGGTTTCGTGGCTGTTGAGCCTGCCATTTGCCATTCCGCCTGCATTCTCCTTGGAGAGTGATCATCCGATTTTTCTAGGAGGTTGGTGGTTGTGGTCCAAATGCCCCAGTCCGTTAGTAGTTTTAGTCCTTCTTTGGGGTCGGTAATCACTTGGGTTTTCCCTTGACGCCATGTAATCAATTCGATGGGGTAGCCCCATCTGTAGGCCACATTATTGTTTCAAAGTGTCATAGTGATCGTGACAAATGCCTTGCGTTTTGCCATCATGGCTGCTGATAAATTTGTGAACAGGGCGACCCACTGGTGAGGGTCCGGGAGTGTGGGTAGCTTTCTTGCTGCTGCCAGTTTTTTATGGGCATAATAATGGAATCTGACGATGACGTCTTTCGGTACTTCGCTAGAAAGACGAGCTGGGCGCGGGAGCCTATGCATGCGGTTGTATGCCCATGCTGAGTCTGGTAGGCCCGGGACCAAGGCCTTGCAGATGGAGAGTATGTAGGCTGGAAGGGCGTCGTGGAAGACGTCGTCGGGTATGCTCCTGAATCGTACATTTTGTCTTCTCGACCTGTCCTCCATATCAGCTACTTTTAGTTTCAGTGTCTCATATTCTTCTGATAATTTTTTTATTTTGTCCACTACTTCGTTGTGGGCAATGCATAATTCTTCAGTTCTATTTTCCAGGTGACTGGTTCTATCATCAAGGCTGGAAATTTCTCTCCTTAAGTCTCCATCAATAGGGTGGAAGTCTGCTGTAATCGTTGTGCGAAGCTCTTGTAGCATTTTATGCAGGCTATGTTCTGTGACAGGTGACAGAGTATTTGTAGGTTCCCGACTCATAGTCGGATTGGCCGTCCGACATGTTGGATGTTTCGTCACCATCTTGATTATCTTTGCGGCGTTCGTTTTTCTTAATTTTGGCCATTTCAGACAACTTTAGCTGTTTGGTCGGTGGCATGGAGTATCCTGTCAGTTTTCACGTTGTGATGTTTGTAAAGAACGCTATTTTAAGTAGCTATTTGTCGCTTTCAGGTCGGGTTTTCGGCGGAGCTCTTATGCCATGCGTCCTCTCTCACCGGAAGCTGGACATGCCACCTAAATGTAGTTGTTTTCACTGCTATGAGATAATTATTCATAATCACATAGCAGCCTCAAATGTTTCCACTTTTTCACTACATTTGGTAAATCAGGAAAATATGTTATGGTATTAGTCATCAAATCTGCCCCAAATGTGTAACAAAAACACTAATTTAATACAATTTACAATACAATTTTTTCCTGATTTACATGATTATTTTTAAATGGTTTTATTCTTTTTGTGTCCTATTTTTATGGATTATAAATATAACAAATTTGTCAACTTTCTGTTTGTCTAGTTGGCTTTTTTCTCTATTTATTTTTGTCTATTTTTTGTTTAATTTCATTGGTGCATTATTCAGTGTCATTCTAGTTTTTCTAGGGCATATTTATATAACATAAAATTTACTCTCAACATTTATCCACATTTCTTTTTTTTTTCTTCTTTTATCTGCTTTTTTAATGCTTGTTAAATTTTTATTGTGCATCTCAAGTGTGATAGCTACTGTTAAAGGTAAAACACACTGCTGTGATTAAGATTTTTGTTAAATATTAACAATGATTTCAAGCAATGTCAAGTCTTCTTGTATCTCGCTGTTCAAAATTATTCAACTGATACAGCTGCCATGGATTGAATACCGCATAGATTGAACTCTGTCTAGTGAGTCTTTCGAACATCTTGTGAGAGTTGAAATGTAATAGGGAATTCCACTTATACAGTTGCAAGGGTTATAAAAGTATCTCCAAAAGCCTTGCTGTTCATCAGTCCACGGTAAGACAAATTGTCTATAAATGGAGAAAGTTCAGCACTGCTGCTACTCTCCCTAGGAGTGGCCGTCCTGTAAAGATGACTGCAAAAGGACAGCGCAGACTGCTCAATGAGGTGAAGAAGAATCCTAGAGTGTCAGCTAAAAACTTACAAAAGTCACGGGCAAATGCTAACATCCCTGTTAGCGAATCTACAATACGTAAAACACTAAACAAGAATGGATTTCATGGGAGGATACCACAGAGGAAGCCACTGCTGTCCAAACAAAACATTGCTGCACGTTTACAGTTTGCACAAGAGCACCTGGATGTTCCACAGCAGTACTGGCAAAATATTCTGTGGACAGATGAAACCAAAGTTGAGTTGTTTGGAAGAAACACACAACACTATGTGTGGTGAAAAAAAGGCACAGCACACCAGCATCAAAACCTCATCCCAACTGTGAAGTATGGTGGTGGCGGCATCATGGTTTGGGGCTGCTTTGCTGTGTCAGGGCCTGGACAGATTGCTATCATCGAATGAAAAATGAATTCCCAAGTTTATCAAGACATTTTGCAGGAGAACTTAAGGCCATCTGTCTACCAGCTGAAGCTCAACAGAAGATGGGTGTTGCAACAGGACAAAGACCCAAAGCATAGAAGTAAATCAACAACAGAATGGCTTAAACAGAAGAAAATACACCTTCTGAAATGGCCCATTCAGAGTCCTGACCTCAACCCGATTGAGATGCTGTGGCATGACCTCAAGAAAGTGATTCAGACATCCCAAGAATATTGCTGAACTGAAATAGTTCTGTAAAAAGGAATGGTCAAGAATTACTCCTGACCGTTGTGCATGTCTGATCTGCAACTACAGGAAACGTTTTGTTGAAGTTATTGCTGCCAAAGGAGGTTCAACCAGTTATTAAATCCAAGGGTTCACATACTTTTTCTACCTGCACTGTGAATGTTTACATGGTGTGTTCAATAAAAACATGGCAACATTTCATTCTTTGTGTGTTATTAGTTTAAGCAGTCTGTGATTGTCTATTGTTTTGACTTAGATGATGATCAGATCACATTTTATGACCAATTTGTGCAGAAATCCATATCATTCCAAATGGTTCACATTCTTTTTCTTGCAACTGTATATTATATTATTTTATATTATGCTATATTATATTGATTTAATATCTATTTGAAGGGCACATTTTACTAATGGAACATTTTAACATCAGAAGACTTACAAAGTCTTCTGATGAAACTTTAATTCTGCTCCAGTTAACTTTGGAGCTTATTTTGTGGTTTGCATCATTTTACCTTATCATGCTTGTTGTTGATATTCTAATATAATTATATCATATTTTCACGGTACTCTTAACACACACACACACACACACACACACACACTGGATTCCACAAGACATGAATGTGTCCTGTGATGTCTGGAACCAAGACATTAGTACCAGATTCTTTAAGTCCTACAAATTGTGAGGCGGGGCGGGGATGAGCACATCCCAAAGATACTGCTCAGTTGGATTGAGATCTGGCAATTTGGAGGCCAAGGCAACACCTTGAACTCTTTGCCTAGTGCAAAACACTGCCCTGACTGCCTGCCTTCTTCCCTTAGTGCATCATGTTGCCATCTCTTCACCAGGTAAATTATGCACATGCACCCAGATAGCACCTGTTCTAAAAGTAAACATGATTCATCACACCAAAAAAACTTTTTCCATAACTCCATGGTCCAGTTCAGATGCTCACATCCACATTGAAAATGCTTTTGAAGGTGGACAACAGGGGTCATCAGGGGCACGCTAAGTGGTCTGCAGCTACGTAGCTCCATACAACGCAAACTGTGATGCACTGTTTGTTCTGACACCTTTCTATCATGACCAGCATTACATTTTTCAGCAGCTTGAACTACAGTACTTCTTTTGTGTGATTGGACCAGATGGGCTAGCTCTGGTGCTCTGGCCACAAGACCTCTGACCGTGTACTGTGATGTCTGAAACCAAGACATAAGTACCAGATCTTTTAAGCCCTGCAAGTTGCGAGGTGGTGCCTCCATGGTTTGTATTTATTGTTCCAGCACATCCCACATATGCTCAATTGGATTGAGATCTAGGAATTTGGAGGCCAGGGCATGTCCTTGAACTCCTTACCATGTTCCCCAAATCATTCCTGAACAATTTTTGCCATGTGGCACAGTACATTATTAGAGTTGAGCGGACACCTGGATGTTCGGGTTCGCCGGGTTCGGCCGAACTTCGGCAAAAGGTTTGAGTTCGGGACTCGAACTTGACCCGAACTTGACCACGAACCCCATTGAAGTCAACGGGAACCCGAACTTTTGGGCACTAAAATGGCTCTAAAAAAGTCCTGGAAAGGGCTAGAGGGCTACAAAAGGAAGTGAAATGTATTGCCTACGTACTTGTACACCTACCCAGTGGAAGAAGAACAATGTTACACTGTATACAATTTTAAATAAAAAGTAAAAGTATACAAACACAGCCAGGATTCAGCTGTAAGCATTTGCAACACTTACAACAATCAAGTAACACACATTCATATAAAATGTAAGTTACTTGGCCAGTCAATGTAATGATAGTAATGAAAAAGTAGATAACTCCCTAATTCCCATGGTATTAGAGAGCTATCTACTAAAAGGCTGAAAGACCTGAATTGGTCTTTCAGCCAAATTTACTAATACTAAGTAAAAATTACTTAGTATTAGTAAATTATGCCCATACTCACTATACCGCGAGTAGGGGCATGTCTAATAAACAGTGAGCAGTCTATGGCTCCCCCCTCCTGAGCCCCCACCCCTGAACGGAGGGTGGGGGCCCTAAAGTAAAATAAGGGGGGGACCTATTGTTCCCCCCCGGCCCCCAGCCATGAGCAGTGGGTGGGGGCCCTAAATTACAATAAGGGGGGACCTAATGTCCTCCCCCATGGCCTCCACCCCTGAGTGGTGGGCGGGGGCCCTAAATAGCAATTGGGGGGGACCTAATGTCCTCCCCCTGGCCCCCACCCCTAAACAGTGGGTGGGGGTCCTAAATTAGAATAAGGGGGATCTAATGTCCTCCTCCCTGGCCCCCACCCATGAGCGGTGGGTGGGGGCCCTAAACACCATTTGGGGGGACCTAATGTTCTCCCCCTGGCCCCCACCACTGAGTGGTGGGTGGGGGCCCTAAATAAAAATTGGGGGGACCTATTGTCCTCCCCCTGGCCCCCACCCCTGAGCGGTGGGTGGGGGCCCTAAATTAGAATAAGTGGGTGACCTAACGTCCTCCCCCCTGACCCCCACCCCTGAGCAGTGGGTGGGGGCCCTAAATAAAAATTGGGGTGGGACCTAATGTCCTCCCCCCTGGCCCTCACCCCTGAGAGGTGGGTGAGGGCCCTAAATAAAAATTGGGTGGTGGGACCTAATGTCCGCCCCCTTGCCCCCACCCCTGAGTGGTGAAGGGGACCTAATGTCCACCCCCTGGCCCCCATCCCTGAGCGGTGGGTGGGGCCCTAAATAAAAATTGGGTGGGGGAACCTAATGTCCTCCCCCCTTGCCCCCACCCCTGAGTAATGGGGGGACCTAATGTCCTCCCTCCTGCCCCCCCCCGAGCGGTGGGTGGGGGCCCTAAATTAGAATAAGGGGGGACCTAATGTCCTCCCCCCTGGCCCCCACCCTTGAGTGGTGGGTGGGGGCCCAAATAGCAATTAGGGGGTGGACCTAATGTCCTCCCCCTGACCCCCACCCCTGAGCAGTGGGTGGGGGCCCTAAATACCAATAAGGGGGGCCTATTGTCCTCCCCCTGGCCCCCACCGCTGAGCGGCGGGTGGGGGTCCTAAATAAAAAATTAACCCCCCTCCCCCAGGTGACTAGGGGTCCCTAAACCCCTATTCACCCTCCTCCCAAAAAAAATTAACCCCTACCTACCCCCCTCACCCTAAAAATAACTAGGGGGGACCATTAGCTAAGTACCTGTAAAATAAATAAATAAAATAATACGTACCATTTGATGTTTTCTTTCTTCTTTAAATCTTCTTTTTTCAGCCCCAAA